ACGGTCCATGTTTTGGTGATCTTTTCATGCACAGTGATTTTAATCAAGATAATGGATGTTCTTATAGTCGTCGGCGGAATAACTATAAAAAAGCAATTAGAAAAACAGATGATGATTTTTCAGTAACAGAATACGAAATAATCCAAATCCGACGAAATTAAACAAATAGGTTATTGAATTCGTGAAATAATGTTATATGTAATTAATTTCAGAAATTAATGAATTTTTTAATTAATGGCATATAAACCAGTTTATACGTACTATTTATATTTTGAGTGATGACAATAACATGACAATAACAAACTTAAATGTACTTACTAAGCAAAAAAAACGTAATATTCTCAAATAAATTTCATAACCAAAAACCATAGGAAGACTTTCGTATGATTGGCAGCTTAAGTCTATTTAATTTTACGAAGAATAAACAAAAAAGAAAGTTTTATTAGGGTTGTATAACTCCACAGTTAAGAATAATCGAAATCCTTTTTGTTTTAGAGAAGTTAACATAATAACGACTTCTTAAAGATAGGTAGAATTAGGTTATTACCATGCCAACTTCTCTAAAACAAAAGGGATTTTGATTAATGGAGTTCTAAACCCTAATAAAACTTTCTATATACTTCGATTTTGTTTATTTTCGTAGCTTGATTTTTTTAAAAGTACTTTAAACTGTATAAATAATGTAAAATTAAATAAACTTAAACAACCAATTATAAGAAAGAATTATACGAAAGTCTTCCTATGGAATCAGAAATATGTTTACGTTTTATTTGAGAGGTGAATCAAGTACGTAATACGGTGCGATGCTTAACTTTATTTGCTGACATTAAACATTTATTTATTATAAAATATAATTTGCATTGAAAATTTTATTTCTTTGAACTTGGTAATATTTCTAAAATTTAACATGCTATATAGCATGCTATTAACTAAAATTTGGCATGCTACAATATAATTTTATACAAACATTAATGAAATTTATATTATATTTTATAATTTACTTTTGGTTTAGCCAATCAAATTATTATATTAATAATGGCATGCAAAATAGATTTTAAAAATTTTTGCATACCACAATGGCATGTCCAGTGATGCATTCCAGTCACCCCACATTTAACGCATCCTTAGAATTATGAAACCCATTATTTTCTTTACGTGTTTTGAGTATTTATATTAGATAAAATGAACCAGAAAAAAACAGAAAATTAATATTTGCAAAAGAAAAAAAAATACTATAAAATCCGAAGCACTTGAATAAATTGTTTATGAAAAAACTCATGAACATTAAAGAAGAAAGCAATACGTGTATGAGTCTCGAGATTATTGTAGGATTAGAAAATAATGACGCAGATGAAGCTAATTACCTTAAAAAGATAGATGCATCGTTTTCTAGAAATTTATTAGTATTCC